CACCACCATTAGCACAAGCTAAGTTTCTTACAGCTATAAAAACACTGAGTTGTGTGGGTATATTTTGAGGTATTATACCCTCAACATAGTCAGTCGCCTGCATTCGATTTTTTCTACATTTGATGCAGTTCCTCTCAGTAAGGGTCCAGTGAAAGCAATGTTAAGACCAACACAGCTTTGTATGTGTGTTAATTCATGGGACGTCACACACCTGTGGCTGGTGGGTGCTCATTACGATTCATCAAAGGATCAGGGAGAGTTGTAAATATCAACTTGGCAATCTTTGAAGGGCTTTAGTTTTGTCCATGAATCAGTTTGTATGAGTCAGAGCCAATTCTAAATTCAATAAAACACAATAAAAATAAAAGACATCTGTCACCAACACTAGTGGCTATCTTTGTGTGAAAGGACAATGCCAGTTTATTGCAACTTGGACTCGATTTTCATAGTTTTGGGCTTCATTCCTGTCACTGTGTTCACAAAGGTAATTGCTGAGATCTAGGAACATGGTGCCATAGTACAAGAAGTGAGGCAGATCAGTCAGAGGATCTGTGAAAAATCACAGTTTATTCAGACTTATTCGAAAGAGGAAACGAAGGTGAATGGTATATTTGCCCAAACTGTCTGTTGTAAACACCCAGCACAATTTACAGACCCACTTCCTGGTTCAACTTAGACCTACTTTTACTTATTACCATGTGTGAACCTATTGTGGCATCACTTATTGGTTTGTGGAGTACCATTTTGAAGCCTCGAGTTCGGTGTAATGGCAGTTGCCATGTTGGTTTTTTGCTGGTGACATACTGTGTGATGAGCTGCTCTCATTGGCTAAGCGTAGTTTCAACTCAACTGGCTTGCCTGGTCACACACATTCTCATATTCCAGATAAACTTGTTAGATAGAGAAATAGCCAACACAGTAACAGAATATTGATTCATATTTGATCAGCAATGCCTAGTTTGAGTCACTGAGAATGACCTGTCAATCAGCCAAAAGTAACTGAGTGCTGAGGGGTAACCCAAAATAGTAAAGTTGTGCTGGACAGATAAACAGTGTGCTGAAACTCACAATAGCTTTTTACATCGTCATTTGATACCAAGTTCTAATAAAAAATATATTATAGCTGCTTGATTTTCCCAAAAAGTCCAAACAGAAATTCGACCATTGTCACATTTTTTTTTTAAAAACTCCTAAAACAACAATGTGATCCAAAGTCACCACTACTTATGTTCAGGTGGTTATTCACTAATGAAAACATACCTAGGAATATTATATTCCATTTCTGCCAATAGATGCTCCTAATAGTTACACACTGAACTTTTAACCTAAACCGACAGTTTAGCTTTCACACAAATGTTTAGATAATCTGGATAAACTGTCGGCTTGTTTACAGCCTGACTGATCATCTGGCCGCTTGTGTTTCTTACACAGATCTCAGCAGGTAATTTGGTGAACTGAAATGATGTCCATAACTACGAAAATAAACTTGAATAAACCAAGATTAGTCTTCAAGGCTGAGGTAAAGGTTACAGCAAAGAGCAAGTAGTGGTGAAGGTTGCCAGCAGGATTATGGGCTGAGAGATATATACATACAAATGTGTGTGTGTGTGTGTGTTTTTGTCTGTATCTTGCGGAAGTAGAGGGGGGGTTGCTCAGTGTGGTGGCAGGCAGGCAGAGCTTTGATGTGGCCGTGACTGGCAGCGCTCTCTGACTGGGTGAGCCAACAGACACGGTCACCCCATGGCCTCTGATCTCTACAAAGAACTATCTTTACCTCTCTCTCTCTCTCTCTCTGCACACACACACACCCTAAACACACACACACACACATCTACCTTGACATAAATCTGCTCTATCCACTTCCTTTCCTCCTAAACTGGCGTCCTTCCAGTTGGTCATTGGAACATTGCGCAGATGGGCACAAAATCACCAATCTGACGGACGCCTTAGGTCTTTTCATGGACGAGCTCTGCAGTGTAGTCATGTTCATTCTCCTGTCAAACTTCATAGCCCTCTCATCACTCTCCCTCTCCCTAAAGCTCTCTCTATCTTCTCCCTCTCGCTCCACCCTCCCCTCCTCGTGCTCGCCTCTCCGAGTCACTCTCAGTGATCCCCTCTCACTCTGATGGCGGGTTTTCATTTTCCAAATTCCCTCAAACGTCTCTGTGGATAATAGGCTCTACCTGTCTGTTGGTTTGCATTATTAGCACGTCACTTCCGTCACAAGAAGAATCCCTTTGTTTTAATATTCAAATTTGTATTGCTTTTTTTTTCAGAAATATGTAGAATAAGTCAATTTAAACTCCCTGGCTCTGCTCACCTAATACAGTTTTAATCTTTTCTTTATCGCTCAATATTTGAAAGCCCTTGAGTCCATCCAAGAACTTGGGAAACACAATTTTATTTGCCTTCTTCCCTTAGCTCTATTCAATTTAATCTTCTTTACTGGTATTGCTAGAGTATCTGAATACAATTCAATAAAAATGAAAATAACTGCTACATAAAAAAAATATATTATATGAAAAGAAATAAAATTTGTTCCTGAGTGTGTCTGTGCTGCTCTCTTTAATTCTTCTCCATTCTAAATGGACTGAATGGAATGTGTGTGTGTGTGTGTGTGTGTGGTCAGTCAGTTGCAGGCCTCAGCAGCAGTAATAAAAGATGGGACGTTGCTGCAGGCGGCTCATTCAATGATCATCTGGAAGCGTCTGATTGGAGGTTAGGGGCTGGAGAAAGAAAGAAATGAGAAAAGAGTTTCAGGTTGATTGTACGATAGAGTAGACGTCTGTAGCAGTTTAGTGGTGACCCTTGTGTCTGCGCAATCATCCATGTGTCTTTGGTAGACTGTCATCTGCTGCTTAATTGTTTTGCTGAGAGACTTTTACAAAGATAAACTTTCAGGCTGAATTGTGAAGAACTGATAAGAATCACATCACAGCCAAACAGCAACCTTCTGTAGCTGACTAATGCAACCAATATCATCCAACCACAGCCACAAATGGGTGTTCTCGTGCTGGTGGGGGTTCCCGTTTTTGCTGACTGGAACGCCCCCTTCTTC